GTGTGTGGAACATATTCATCTCTCACGCGTGGCTGCCCCGCGGCCTCGCGAGGACTTGGGACAAGGAATTTGTCGCCGAGTCGCTCCAAGAATGACTTTCTCCGCGAGACGGCGGTGCGATGGCTCGCACGATGGCCCTTGACCAGGGGAGTGCGACGGGTGTGCAACCCCTGCGCCGCCCTGCCGCCCGGACGGACGGGTTGCCCTCGCTACTTCCGAAGCGCATCGTTTCGTCGCTCTGTCTCTGTCCCACTCGCGGGGCGACCCGCCGGAGAGCGAGAGAGAGAGAAAAAGAGCGCCCGAGCGACTCCAGGAAAATTAATCGGCGTGATGATGCCATTGTGGGACACGGCTGGCTCGGCTCTGCGGCGCTCCTGCGGTCAACAGTATCCCGCCGCCACCGGCCGAGCCACCGGCCCTCCCGCCGAGGACCTCAGGGGACCTCCCGACATGATATCAAAATGATTGGACGTCGACGAAAAATGGAGACGGGAACGGTGTGTTTGAGGGTCAGCTTGTGCAACGATTCACTTAGCCCGGTGCTGCACGCTCCTCCAAGCTGGCCTTCTTGAAGGCGGCGATTCCAGCGGCGGATTGCACCAGGTGGTCCACGGCCAGAGATAAGCCGCGCTAAAGCAAACATGCCGGATGAAAAAGAGTAAATGTTTGCGCTCTTGCGCTCCGTCTGTCGATTAGGTTCATTACACGGGGCATCTTGAGCCGGACGGGGATTCGGAGATGATGCTTCCTCCGAGAGCATCGGATTCTCGAGTTGCTTCGGGAGGGAATCAATGAGGCGCAGGTTTCCCACAGCAATTGTTCCAAATAGTGCCAACATGTGTGCGGGGTCCTGATCCATATCTGCTCAGCGAACGCCTAGGCTTGGGATAAGCCGCCATAGGTCTGCAGCCTGCCTGCCTGCCTGCCTGCCTGGCTGCCTGGCTGCCTGGCTGCCTGCCTGCCTGCCTGCCTGCCTGCCTGCCTGACTGCCTGCCTGGCTGCCTGCCTGGCTGCCTGCCTGCCTGCCTGCCTGCCTGCCTGCCTGGCTGCCTGCCTGCCTGCCTGCCTGCCTGCCTGCCTGCCTGCCTGCCTGCCTGCCTGCCTGCCGCCTGCCTGGCTGCCTGCCTGCCTGCCTGCCTGCCTGCCTGCCTGCCTGCCTGCCTGCCGCCTGCCTGGCTGCCTGCCTGCCTGCCTGCCTGCCTGCCTGCCTGGCTGGCTGCCTGGCTGCCTGGCTGCCTGCCTGCCTGCCTGCCTGCCTGGCTGCCTGGCTGCCTGGCTGCCTGGCTGCCTGCCTGACTGCCTGACTGACTGACTGCCTGCCAGCCGGATCGCAACGCCAATCAAACAGTGCCTCCCTCCTTCCCTGTCTATGCCTTCCCTCGCGGTCTCGCAGAGCGATTTCAAGTGCCTCACGGAGCGCGGGTATGAAACACGGAGGCGAATTTCCCGTAACTGAAAAAAACGAGAGGGAGAGAGGGGGAGGGGGGCGGGCGAAGGGGGAGGGGGTCGCTCAGGTGAAGGCGGAGTGGTTCCCACAGGATGGGGTGCGGTGAGGCCGGCGACGGGTGCGGGGCGCGCAGTGCAGGAGGCGAGGGGGCCACCACTCTCATTTCAGGCGTACACAAGATTACGGGATTACGGGAAATTTACTAGGGATTACGCGTGAAATTTTCGAAAAATTTGGGTTTGAAAACGTTGAAAAAAAAGCTCAAAAACGTTGAAAAATGACTAAAAACGTTGAAAAATGACAGAATTTTGTCAAGGATTACGTGATTACGCCATGGATTACCAGAGATTACCAGCCAATTTGTACACAGGATTACGGGGGTGGTGGCCCCCTCGGCAGGAGGGCCACCCCGGTGTCGCGCATGCTGCAGCCTGAAATGAGGCCGGCCGAGTCACAATGAAGAAAAACACTGACAAAAGACACTCTCCCCTCTCACTCTCTCTCTCTCTCTTTGCTCCATGGATCGCAACACCGCCTGCGGGCGACCAGCGTAGCGTGTCCTACCGCAACCCTAGCAACCCCCATGGCGGCGCGGGGTGGCGTGGCGTGGCGTGGCGCGGTGCCTGCCGCAATCCGGCACGCCTTGCCCTGGCCCAGCCACCCCACCACTCACCTGTGTAGAGAGCCAGGGGACGCGACGGGACGGGGGTGGATGGACCTGGGCGGACTGAATCAACTGTTGGAGTGGACGGACAGCCGGCAGCCGGCCCGTGCTTGCCCAGGCCGGAACCAATCATCCGTCATGAGCATCCATGCGCGGGCCCCGCGTGCCCCGCGTCCGCGTCCACACCGTCCCAGCCATCACGGCCGCCCTCGCCGCCCTCCTCGCCGTCCTCCTCACCGTCCTCCTCCCTCACCGTGCTCCTCGCCGTGCTCCTCGCCGTCCTCCTCACCGTCCTCCTCGCCGTCCTCCTCGCCGTCCTCCCCGCCGTCCTCCTCGCCGTCCTCCTCACCGTCCTCCTCACCGTCCTCCTCATCGTCCTCCTCGCCGTCCTCCTCGCCGTCCTCCTCACCGTCCTCCTCGCCGTCCTCCTCGCAGTCCTCCCCGCCGCCGGCCCAACGCAGCTGTGTATCTGGGGCACCCCAGCCCGAACGCCCACGCGTAGGACATATTGGCGCCGGACAGGTGGGCGGGCAGTCGCGGAGTTTGGCGGTCAGTCTCCGCCAAGAGCCACCTCGGAAAGCCCCTAGCCCGCCCCTTCAAACGAACTCAGCTGGCTTGCTTGCGCCTTTCTCGGCAGGGCGGATGAGGCCTGCGACTCAGCGCGGTGCTCCGAAGAATCTGCAGACTGATTCCAAGAGTCGTCCTTGTCGTCGCTCTGCCTCGCTCGCACTCACGGGGCGCCGCGCGTGGGTGCGAGGGAGACAGGGCAGAGGCGAGGCTGAGCCGCGAGCGGCGGGATGTCCCGATTGGACGTGCGTTGCTGTCTCACCTGCGTCACGCGCACCGAGAGTCTCGCAACCCACCCCGACTGCAGCGTGCCACGGCGCCGCGGACAGACGACGACGCCACGGTTGCACTCGACGGCCGTCTCGAGGACGCCGAATCGAACCCCGGCGACCGCGACGCCGCGACGCCGCGATGAGACGACGGCACCCTCGACAAGGACTCGACAAGGGGTGGACAAGTCATCGTCCGGCGGAGGGCGGGGCGGGCCGGGCCGGGGATCAGTGAAAAATGAAAGGGCCATTACTGTCGCGGCTTGGCTCGGCTTCGCTCGGCTCGGCTCGGAGAGGCACGAGCGGGGAAGCGCGTCACACGTCGCCGCCGTGTGATGAATCGAGCGGCACCCCGTCTCGAGTCGCGCCTTTATTGAGAAAAATGTGTGTCTCTGCCAGGCCAGAGCCGAGCGTGATGAAAATGCCGAGTCCGCGGCCAGCTTGCGAGGCTTGCGTGGCTCGGCCGCCAATTCCGCGCATAGCAGTTGTCTCTTTCGCACTCGCGGTGCGTCTCGGGGGAGTGCGAATGAGTGCAAGCGAGACAGAGCAACGCTGCGCACAAAGGCGGTGCGTTCCACTGGGCGGGGCGCGGCCGTGCAAGATGACCGCCTCCTCGGCCTGTCGACTGATTCCGAGGGCCGCCTTCGTCGCTCTGTCTCTCTCGCACTCGTGGGGCGTCCCGTATAGGTGCGACAGAGACAGAGCGACGAAGGCAGCCCTCATCGGAATCAGTCGACTGCTCGACACCGGCCGCGTTCGTTCCGCGAGCCTCGCGAGCTGGCGACTTGAAAAGGGCCGCCTCGCCGCCCCGCCGCCTTCCAACGCGCTTCCCCCGCTTCCGACACTTCCGACACTGGACATCCACCTCCACCACCCACCCAATGGGTGCACACTGCACTGTCCACGAGTCACAGCTGATTTTCGCACAAAGAAGAGACCGACCATTCTAAACTGCAAAAAAGTAAAAGAAAAAGTTTTAAAATACGTAATTCAATGCTAACGCATTGCACGGTGTTCCAGAATTTAAAGTCTGTCGTTTTCAGGTTTTTAAAACAAATTACAGTAAATCCCGTAATTTGTTACTCATATCAGCCCATACTGTACGAATTCCCGGTCTGAGGCGTGGGGCGTGGCGGGGCGTGGCGGGGCGTAGCGGGGCGGGGCGGGGCGAGGCGTGGCGGGCGTGCTCCCATTGGGGCGGTGCCGGGTCGGTGCCGGCGGTGTCTCTTTTGCGGCACCGGTAGTCCGGTCGCAAATTCTGCACACCTTCTTCTTCCAAGGAAACTGTTTATTTTCCAGGCAGGCTAGGTGAGGCAGGAAGTGTCGTCCGGAGGGCCGGAGGGCCGGAGGGCGGAGGCCGGGGGGAGGGTGCCCTTCATTAGCATCAAAATGGGGTCCAAGGTGACGCGACAAACCCCGGCCGCCCAGGTAACGCTCCTCTCGTCGTACTAATCAGCATTCTAACGAGGGATTACAAAACACGCGAGACCAGCAACTCGGAGACTTCGAGACAAAAATCAAGTGAAACGGATAGGAAAAATGGTAAAATCACTTTGTTGCAAGGCGTAAGCTTGAGGTGAGAAAAACATTAAGTACATCAGCTCCGGGAACGAAAAGGGTCTAGTCTATCCTAACGTTCGAGAAAAGAAATCTAACTGAACCCATCCGAAGCTGAACGCAGGCGCCCATTTGGTTTGTCTGCGCGGCGGAAGGCCTCGCCCTTCTGGCCCTTCGCGTGCAGATAACGAAATGTCACACACTGGCCTCCCTGTATCACGAACGCGCCACGCGGCCGCGATCCGCGACCCCCTTCGCTGTTTTCCAACGACGTCACGTTGTACAGTGTGCCGTGCGTCACGCCCGCCTCGAGGCCCCACATCCCTCACAGGTATTTCGGAGAGCTGGAACAGTGTGGCGTCGACACCTCGAGGCAGGGAAGTCTCATCATTTTTTGACAAGACACGTCCCCGGCAGACGAGTTGCTGGAAAATCGATTTTGCCAAAAACCGACAAGAAGTCTTGACTTCCTGTTGTGCTGCCAAAGTTTGGCACCATGTCCTCGAGTGCCTCCAGTGGAGTGCCTCCCAGTGGAGTGCCTCCCAGTGGAGTGCCTCCCAGTGGAGTGCCTCCCAGTGGAGTGCCTCCCAGTGGAGTGCCTCCCAGTGGAGTGCCTCCCAGTGGAGTGCCTCCGTGGAGTGCCTCCAGTGGAGTGCCTCCCAGTGGAGTGCCTCCCAGTGGAGTGCCTCCCAGTGGAGTGCCTCCCAGTGGAGTGCCTCCCAGTGGAGTGCCTCCCAGTGGAGTGCCTCCCAGTGGAGTGCCTCCCAGTGGAGTGCCTCCCAGTGGAGTGCCTCCCAGTGGAGTGCCTCCCAGTGGAGTGCCTCCCAGTGGAGTGCCTCCCAGTGGAGTGTCCTCCCAGTGGAGTGCCTCCCAGTGGAGTGCCTCCCAGTGGAGTGCCTCCCAGTGGAGTGCCTCCCAGTGGAGTGCCTCCCAGTGGAGTGCCTCCCAGTGGAGTGCCTCCCAGTGGAGCCCTCGGTTTCGCCATCGCCCCAAAGGGGCGTCCTCGGCGGCGCGAAAATGATTATTCGCACACGCCCTCTCTGTCTCGCTCTCCCTCCCCCTCCAGGGGCAACGACTTTCCGAGAAAGCGGCGGCAGAAAGAAAGCCACATTTGCATGCGTATGAATACGTAATTATGCGCCGTTCGATTCATAGAGTCGCTCGTCCACACTGCAAGTCCGACGAATTCGCGATGAAAGTTGCATGACGCGGACGGGCGTCGCGCAGCCTGATAATTCCAAGCGTCCTTTTCGTCACCCTGTCTCTCTCTCTCAGAGAGCGTCCTTTGTAGGTGCGAGAGAGACAGAACGACGAAAGTGACCCTGGGAATCGATATCTGCAGCGCGAACGCTGCACCGTCGTGGCGTCAGACCGCGTGCACTCTAAATGTTCTCCAGTAAAGATTCTCCATATTATGGTGAAAATGTTCCATATTATGGTGGTGCAGCTGACTTCGTAACATACCATTGAGAATTCACTGTACCTTATGGAGATTTTCACGAATTTCGTTGGTATTATGGAGAAAATCTCCACCATATTATGTTGGTGCAGCCTTTCACCGTAAGACATTTACTGTGTGGAGTGACTGCCTCATTTTCGCTTTTCTGAAATGCGACTCCGCTGCACCTGCGGGGCCATGGCGGGGCCATGGCGGGGCCTGCAGACCTGCAGGCAGACGCACCACTGCGCCTCCGGTGCGCCGACCCTGCACCCTATCATGCAGTGAAACTGGATCCGCGGCGACGACATCGGCCAGGTGGGAAAATGAGTGAAAGGGGATGAAAAACTCGCCGGGGACCCAGACCGGGGCGCGGAAGCGAACCCGCCGGATAAAAAAAATGATGGGCTCATCTGAGAAAGGTGTGATATGACACGGCGGCATTGTTGTTGCCGTTCTGAGGACGCGTTTTATCAATGAAGGCCCACTAGCACACATCCACGCCCCCCCCCCCACACACAAACCCAGGTGCGGCGCTACCTGAAGAAACCGAATCAAAGTCTCGGCTGCAAAGGGGAAAGAGGAAGACATTCTCACGTTACGCCCACTTGTTGATTGGACTATGTACCTCTGGGAGAGAAAAAGGGCTTCTGTCGTGTTTGAAAGGTACGCGAAGGGCGCCGTTTTCACACGGCCTCACTGCGCCAAGTTTCACCACTCGTCTCATGGTTGGGGTGCACTGCAAAGTGGGCCTAAAGACCGGTGGAGGCAGCCAAGCCGCGATCCACGCGAGGACCGCTGTCAGCAGCACCTGCCGAAAAATGACAGCGTGCTGTACTACCAGCCTCTCTGCCAGTGTATCGCGTCTTTGCGCGGGCTGGAGGCGAACGACGGCGTGGAGAGACTCGTGGGGGGAGGGAGAGGCGACAACTCAGGAGGCTCTAGGCTCGCTACGAAGGGCTTGCTGGCTGAGTGACGCTAAACGGGTAGGGCGAGGTGGCGGCAGTGCGCCCCGCCGGCCAGGGCGCCGCGTTTGATTTTTATTTGAACTGTCGCCGCAGCGCTGTGATGCGCTCCCCGCCCCGCCCGGCCCTTTAGTAGTTGGCCCTGTCGTCGTTAGTGGCGCTGTCATCCTTCTCCCGGGGCACGTCCCTAACGGACGGCCGCCATCGGCGTCTCGGCGCCTCGGGGTGGGTGCACTGGAAAAGCAACACGACAGCCCATCATCCCAAGGTAGCTAGGGTTCAAAGGACGTCACTGCAAGGACCACAGAGTCCTTGCAGGGCATACGGCATACATTGTTGAGGAACTGCAAGGAGCACTTTCTTCGACTGCAGTCTGAACAAGAGGGCGCTTGCAGGACGCCCCCGACGGCCCCATGCACCGCTAGCCACAATAGGGCGACGTTGCCAGTTGGCGAAAAGCTCCTCAGCTGGTCTAAGCTGGACCAATGGACCACGGCAGAGAGGGCAGCCTCGGTGCGACATTCCTCGGTAGTCCCTCGACCCGTCTCTCTCGCACTCACGGAGTGTGCCTGAGGGGTGCGAGAGAGACAGACCGAGCGGGCGGCGGAGTCTCTCGACAGGTAGAGACACGTGCACGTCGGCCGCCCCTTTCCTCGGACCCAGGCCTGTGGCAGTGTGCCGCCGCCGTCCAGGCCGTCCAGTGCAGGGCCGAGCTGCCGAGGCCAAACGCTAATGTTCTTATTTACGTCGCTTTTTCGACGGCTAAAGTAAACACGGAATTTGCTGCGTCAGGGGCGGGCTGCACTCCGGGAGGTGCGAGTGAGCGCCGCGAACTTGCTCTACAGTGCACCGCCGGCCGTTGGATGTTCGTGGGGTGCAGTGGTGGTAGGGCGAATTAGAACGGGGCTATCAAGGCACAATGAGGCCGCCGACCCCCCCCAAAAAACGTGAAAAATGACGGCACTTAAAAAGGGGGCTCCGTTTGAGAAGGGGCCGGGCCGGGCGGCGGGCAGGGGCGGGCCGCCGTGGCGCCAATCACAGGTCGGCCCCTTTTCTCCCTCTTTTTTCCAGGGACGGTTGGGGATTGAATTGAGGATTGGGCAGAGCGCGGCCAAATAAATAAAGCCGTGCTGTATTTCTCGTTATCGCGAAAACCTGTGAGACTGCCCTTGCTTTGTTTACACTGTACATACATACTGGACTTTTTTAGAGTGCGAGAAAACACGTCCGCGCACCGTTCACCCCTCCGGGTCGGAAAAAGCGTGAGACGAGACGCCGAGGTGCAAAGCAGAGTTATCACCCTGCAGCCCGTACGCTCCGCTGTGTGTGTGTGTGTGTGTGTGAGTGTGTTTGTGTGTGCGGGTGCGTGGGTGTGTTCGTGTGTGTTTGGAAACTCTGAGTGGGGGAGGACTGGGTCGTTATCACACGGTCGAGCAAACATGGGAATGCATACCGAGCGGCAGGAGCAGAGGGCGTTTGGTTTTCTGGAGACCAGGACTTTACTTGGTATAAGTCGCAAAAAAATGAACAAACACGGAAGAAAAAGGAAAGCTAAGCACCCCGCGGGTGAATAGGCCGAGCCCAGTCCAAAAACGTGCATATAAGTTCAAAATATGTTTCCTTGTTCCCAATAAACATACATTCCCTTCGGTTTGATGTGGTGGAAAAATGTTGATGCAACCAACTTGGCAGCCTCCCCAAGCTGGTCTGAAAGAGGGCTCATCTCCTTTGAACGTCGGTGTCGAAAAGTAGAAAAGAAACTGCCCCTAGCAACAAGCTGCAGCAGGTCCATGCTTGCTGGGCCCTGGGCGGCCTGGGCCAGGGCTCGGCCCGGCTGGGCCTTTGGGCCCCAGACGCCAGCCGGTCCCGGGGAGGGCGAGTCGGGGAGCCTCCAAGGACCCCAGCGCGGCCAGGGGCAGGCGGGCTTCTTATCACGAGTAGGAAATCTGGCGTCGCTGCTTGGCAGCGCTCGGCAGCGAACAGCCGGGCAGGTCCTTTTAAAATCAGGGAAAGGGAAGCGGGGCCGCGGGGTGCCCTGCAGTCGTTCTCGGTGGCAGTCCCGTCGACACCGCCGCGACGCACTGCACCGCGAGCCGCCCGGTTCGGCCGGCGACACTTCGACGCGGAGGCGGCCACGACCTGGGCCCAACCAGGACGTATCTTTCCAACAGGTCCTGTCGGCGCGCCACACCGCGCCGCGCCACCCATATGGAACAAGGCCTGCAAGGCCTCGAGGCTGCCGATTTTTGATGAGATTCATTTCCATAGAGCGGCCAGCGGGCCGCGCGCGTGTTGAAAGTTTGACGGAAAAAAGGACGCCGAGTCGATTGAATTGGACTTTCGAACGTGTTCTCCGAGCGAGTCTCCGAGGCTCATCTTGCTGCGCTTGCTGCGCTTGCTGCGCTTCGTGGCGTCCTCGGAGCTGCAGCACGCTGCAGGTGGCTCTCCAGTTTCGCTCCTCCCGCGCTGGCCGCGCTGCGGGCGGCTAGCATGTCCGGTGCGCGCACTGCTGTGCACTGCGCGGCGGTTTCTCACAACAAGCGTTTGCGGCTTTCCCGCGTTGCGGGGCATCCGACGGCGGCCACTCACGGCGTTGCCTTTGCGGCTGCGCAAGGCGCTTTTCGCGGCACGGCGCCAGACGCCTTTGTCGCCTTTTCTGCGCTTCGCCGTCGGCCCTCCTCCTCCCCCCCTCTCCCCGTTCCGCCTCCCCCTCCTTCCCCAGGCACACTCGGTTTGCTAATTTCGCGGAAGGCGAGCAGCGCGACTGCCTCGCGCGGCAGAGGCTCATCATAGACCCGGAGGGGGCGGGGGGCTCCACGGGGGGGAGGGGGGGACAATCCCCAAGGCGGCCAAAATGGACAAATGCAATTTACGCTGCAGTAACAGATCCTTTAAGCGGCACCGCCCCGAAAACGGACGTATTTGAATATTTTCTGCGTTGCCGTCGTTACAAAACATCGCTTTGTGACAGCGCCTCCCCGTCCCCCCTCCCCCTCCTTCCTCCAGGCAACACTCGGTTTGCTAATTTCGCGGAAAGGCGAGCAGGCGACCTGCCTCGGCCGGAGAGAGTCTCATCATAGACCCGGAGGGGGCGGGGGACGCGGAGGGGGGGGGGGGGAGGGGAGGGACGCTTGCCCGAAATGGCACTCTAAAATGGTTACAAACAATTTACATGTACCTAGTAACAGATCCTCGAGTGCGCACCTTCCCGAAAACGAGAACGTCTTTGAATTATTTTCTGCGTGAAAATGCTCAAAATCGTTACAAAACATCGCGAGTTTGTGACAGCGGAGCGTCGCCCACTGCACCGCGAAAAAGTCGCGTTGCACGCAAAATGCGGGCTTGGAAGGTGGTAAATAATGCAATGAGCATCGCCTTACCGCTCGTATCGGGGAAGAACGTGAGAGTGAGTGGGAGGAGGGGAGCAGGGGGGAGGGGGCCGGGGTGTTGGCTCCGGACGGTCCACATCTGAGATGCAGGTCAGAACCTGCACGATGCAGTGCGTTGCACCGAGGCTGCTTCGAGGAAGAGGGGGGAGATGAGGATGATGAGGCAGTGTGTGTGTGGGGGGGGAGGGGTGCGGTGCGATGAATGGAGCCCCCCACCACCGCGCCCTTT